ATGTTTATAGCATTTGTGACTTGACAAATGAGGACTTTTTAAATTCAATTCAAAATGAAAAGCACGAGAGATCTCAAAATGTAATTACTCTTACATATTCACTATTTACTCTCTAAATGAACTTGGGTATTGATGGCTTCTGAGCCTCTATTTCTTTTTGGAAAGATATGTGGTGAGAGCACAGTGTTTTCCTGTCCTCTCTGAGCCTTGACACTTTATGTCAGGAAGCCAAAGAAGGTCTAAAGCAATAGTGCTCTTTCATGAACTTAATGAAGGTAAATTTCTCTTTCTTCCAACTTCTTTTTCCAGATGGCAGTGGAAACATAGAAAACAGTAGAAAGGCTGACTTGGTGCCTCTGTGAGGAGCAGTTCATGGAAAAGAAAAGATATGAATGCAAATGAAAGATAGTACTTTGTTTTGGGGTCTGGAGTCTCGTGATCTCTACTGTTCCCTTATAGAATGATAAACTACAAAGTCCTTAGCTGCTAGGCTGCTGATGGTGAGTGTGAAATCTGTAATTGACCTACTATCACTGATTCAGACAGGGCCATCAGCTACTGGACACACCACAGACAAGGGTCTGGGAGTCTGCCTGCCCTGTTTTCAACAAGTGCTTTTAAATAATGCTCTTAAAGACCTTAAAAAAAAAGATGTGTATTAAAACAGCTTTTTAAACATCTTTGGCTTTAAGACAAAGTTAAAATGCCTGTCATTATTTACCTGTTTTGATTTGAATCTAAAATTCTGCATCTGTACAATGATCTCAATGATCCTGAGGGTGTGGCAGGACTCTACAAACATTCAGCAGCAAAGCATTTATACATTAGGAAAACGTACTTCATAAGTTTAGTGACCTCATTTATACTTAACATTTTGTACCTTTTGTCTTTTTATTTTTCAGTTTGTTTCTCTTTTGCAAAGTCAAGGAAGGGGTTTTCATAGGTGGTTGCCACTTGTTACCCTTACTTCTAATTGCCAACTGCATTAGATTAAAAAAAAAAAAAAAAAAAAAAAAAAAAAACCTAACAAAGTAGTGATGCACGCTCCTGGATGCTTCTGTGTGGGCCATGGTGTCATGGTCCTTCACCTGTTGCTGCTTGGCACACATACCCTGCCCAGCTTCTCCACCGCCATGAACTGAGAAGCTTTGCTCTGTAGTGTTTAAAACTGGACGTCCTGTGCTGGGGATTTAGCTCAGCGGCATAAGCACCTGCCTTGCAAGCAGGCAGCTGTGAGTTCGATCCCTGGTACCAATGAAAAGGAAAAAAACAAAAAACAAAACAAAACAAAAACATTGTTGACAGTAATTTCGTCCAAACAAAAGTATTATGGTGGATCCTCACCCATTGTTTTCACCAGATCTGGCACAGTGTAACTTCTGGCTCTTCCACAGTCAAAATAACTAAAAACGGTAAATGTTTTGAATGGTGCCTTGACATAAAGGCAATTTTGACTGCAACTATAGACATTCATAGCAGAGTACTTCCATACTTATTTGAGAAAGTGGGAAAAACAACAGCATAAATATGTTCAAAAGAAGCCAGAGTATTATAAGTGTGATTCATGTCAATGTGACTTCTAGTGTAGTAATTTTTTTTAAGTTTAACAATCACCATTATTTTTTATCACATCTTTAGTGATATTACTGTACAGTAAGTTGCATATGATACCACAACTCCAAATCCTAGGATATTATTCTTATTCCTGTACACCAGGAAAGCCTATCCTGTGTGTGCTGCTGTGAAAAAGAAGAAAGATAAGTATGGAGCAGAGAGAGAAGCCTCTTTGGCTCCTTCTACCAAAACTACCCAGTCACTTTTAGAATGTATTTGTACCAGTGAAATGTCCTCAGCAGGTGGAAATACCAAGAGAGGCAGCTGGGGCAGCCCAGCCATGTTCTCCTCTGTTCTTGAATAGTTCCTATTATGGCTTTTAACACTGTGCGAGGCCAACCGTGTCCCTGATGACAGTAATAAATTGCACAATATATTCAGGTTCCTGACTACCAATGATGAGAGTAAAATCTGTCTCAGATCTAGTCACTGAAGCTGAAGGGACCCCCAGATTGTTAGTGGATGCCCTATACATCAGGAATGTAGGAGCACAGAATCTCGGCACAGGTTTTTGTCCCCAGGTATCCTCACAACAGTGATCAGGGCAGCACAGACGCAGCTGAGAATATGCTTCCTTCTGCTAGCCATTTTCTTACAAAAGAGAATCCTGCCTGCCAATGACCATCCTGGATCCAGTTTCCAGCATGTGTGAGGAAAAAGGACCTCTAAACTCAAAGAGGTGAATATCCAAAGTGAAATAAAGGTGACTGATTTGTCCTGCCTTCAGTGTAAAAAGCAGCAGAAACCCGACATCTGAGCTCAATGATGCCCACGACTGAAGGTTCTGTATAAGGGAGGATTTGGGAGGCTGTGAGAAGTCATGATTTCAGAGCTGTCCCCCAGCCTGTTCCAGTAAAATGGCCAATGTCCCTCAGCAATTAACACTAGAAAAGCACCTAGTGAAACTTATGCTGAAGTAGGGACAGAGTGGGTGTGTGTCATGATGGCAGCACAGTACTGATACCCAAAGTGAAACCTCTTTCTGACCTACCTCTGTCATCCTGTCCAGTAAGTGAGCAGGAGCTGCAGCTTGGCCTCACTGTTGCTGAAGAGAGTCAGAGACTGGAACATTCTGCCTGGCTCTGTAGGTGATTATGACCTCTTCTAGAGGGACTCTGGGATTAATGCTGAAGACAGGACCCACACAATGTCCCCACTGTTAAATGGGAAGCGATTAGGAGCATCTCCAAATATTAATACCAAGTCAGTTATTTATTCAATGGATAAAATTCTGAACAACAAGTATAGATATAAACAATTTCATCTGAAATGTGCTTAATGCAAACACACTGAGGATGCATCTTTCTCTGCAAGGAGTCAGAGCAGAAGATTAAGAGAATTAAAACTGGGTCCCCAGTCTGCAAAGTGCCTTTTGAGGCTGATTCTGTTACTAGGCACTTGAGATGATACTACTACTCTGCTCCACAGCAACAGAAAAGCAAAATACTCCAGGCTAATTGGCTTAAACAAGGGAAATACAATTTTTCATAGTTCTAAAGTCTAAAAAGTCCAAAGTCAAGGTCCAGAATACTCTCATTTCTATTTTAGACTCTCCTCTTACCTATATATCTTACAGTGTTATTAGAAGGCTTTTTATTGAACATACAATCACAGGTAGATAAGGCCCCTCTTTACCCTCCAGATCTAAGGACAGGAGTAATAAAGTATTAGCTCCCACCTGTATGACTTCATTTAAGCTTTGTTCCCTTACTTCAAATACACACCCAAAAAAAAAAACAAAAAAAAACTTCAACACATGCATGAGACACAAGACAGTCTTTAAGAGATGGAATTTGGGAACTCGGACTAGGTGGTGGCTGGGGGTAACTCCAGGTATCCAATCTGAGCAAAGAACTGCAGATTTCTCTGCAGTCAAGCACCTTGGCTTCTCCCTGATGTGTCTCTGGTCACACCTGAGATCCTGTCCACTCCTGCAAGCTCCCTGTTGATAACAGGACACTTCACTATTTCTCTATTAGTTCCCAGTGGATGTCTCTTTTATTTTGATATGTACTTGAAAGAGAACAGAAAGTCACTGGTATGTATTTATGAAGAAATTTGGAGTGCCCATCTGGCCAGAGGAATATAAGGTGCTAGCCAAATTACATACACCTTAAGACTTCTAGGTAAATCATTTGCCATCACTTTTAGTAGAATTTTCAACTGGGTACAAAAAGGTAAGATTAAATCTGCTCTACAGACATGTCAATAAGCTTGGCTATAAGAAAAAAAAAAAAAAAAAAAAATCACCAGAAAATTAACTGAGAAGCCTATTAGGTATCTGGCTGTCCTACCTTAAATTTACTGACTTATCAATACTTCCTCTCAATGCAGTAAGTTTTCAAGATAAGGTTTTAAGGTTTTCACTCCACATAGAAAACTCTATTTGGTAAGTCAGTCACAAAAGATACATACAAAAAAAATCTTTTTAGAGGTTGTCTCCACTATGCAGTTCAGGCTGGCCTTCAAAACACTGTATAGCCCAGGCGGGCCTGGAACTCTCAATGATCCCCTTGCTTCAGACCTCAGAATAAATCCACTTACATTAGATGATCAGGATATGCATATCTATAAGAAAAGAAAGTAAATTAGCCATTGCCTAGAACTGGAGGATGGGTAATGGAAGGAAATAAAAGGTACAGTTTCTTTTAGGGAAATGTTCTAAGTTTGACTGTGATCACAGTTGCACAACTTTGTAGATATACTTTAAAAATCACTTAATTGTAGCCGTTTAATTACAAAGTATACGAGTATCTCAGTAACAGTCCTACAAAAAAATTAGGAAATGAAAGCCCCAAGACAGAAGAAAACAAAAGGCTCTCCAAAATCAAGCAGCACCTGAACAAACAAAAGACAAGGCTGATAAAAAGGCTGTTTCTTTTTACACAGTATTTTGACTTCACTATTAGCAATTTAGCAATTTCTTGTACAAAAAAATTCAAGTTGAATTTCTTGTAGTTTTTAGTCAAAATTATCTTACAAGTTACTGTTTTTAAAATAGTTCAACATTTTACCTTCAGCACCATCAGTGAAGATGGACACAGTAAAACTACTATCCATAAAAAGCTATGAAATTCAATGACATTAATTAAAAAAAAATAGTTTCAAATATGTAGAACATACTTGGCTCAAATTCTTTATGTCTTCCTTTAGATTACTGATGTTTATTTTATTTTCACTAACTTACTATCTCAGTATGAAATAAAGTAATGGACTTGGAAAGTTAAACTGGCTTGAGCAGCTTTGCTCACTGATTACTCCGCTCTTCTACATAGGCTCATGAAATCATAAATGGCTTTGGGGTTTATCTTCAACTATTCTATACAACATATTCAGGGAAATCTTCTACAGCTAATTGAAGACAACGTAAGTAGTTTTATAGCAAGTTGAGCTTGTGAAATATATTTATTACGACAGATTTTTCTTCAGTTCTGAAGTGACATTGTTCACTGTATATAATCTCAGAGAAATGATCAAACAGGACAGCTGATGTTTGCATATGGGGAAGGGGTAGAGTAAGAAGTCATGGGTAAATTAAAAACTGGCAAATATCTGCAAAAGCAGAAACACTTGCTAAGGGTCAGAAGAAAGAATGAGAAGTCACCATTTTTGAAATATGCTAAGAACTATAAACCATGTTACTAAAAACCCATACTGAAAAATGCTGTCATCACAGTATCACAAAAATTAGTCATAAAAACTATAATGCAAAAGAAATGAGAAAATGACGAAAACCATCATTTTTCATATATTCAAACAGTGACTTTTACAAAAGATACAAATTTGTTTCAAATGAAAAAAAATTCTCTATAAAAGAGCAAAGATTCATTTCATAGATGATATATACTCCATTAACAAATCATCAACAGTATAAAAAGAAAGGCCAGAGATTATTAAAAATCAGGTCGAAAAGGTCACCATAAATACTGACTGGGTGGAGGGTTTAACACTCCAGACTAACAGTCAGCTGTGTCCTCCCGGAGATTACCATTTGTAAAAATCTTAACTGTGCAGTGACTCCAGTTTTCGTAATTTCAATGACGCGTCAAAGGACGATGCATCTTGGCTTAAAGCATCTGTCGTATCTGAAGGCCGGAACAGTACTCGACCACGATGATTAAATACATAAAAGGATGGGTGATTCCTTAAGGTGTCAAATCTCTTATTCTTTAGTTCCGAAGTGGCATTCATGTCTTTAAACTCGCCGGCGATATGAACTATACCGTAACAGGTAACTGCAAAGGCCAGAAGTGTCTGAAGAATTACATCCACCGGCAGTGACTCATCTTCCTTTTCGGTTAATCGCATGTAAGAGCGATGCTGCGCAGCGGAAAATGCAGCGTGGGCTAGGGCAAAGAGGGCAAGTCCTACCAGTCCCTTCCACAGCGACGGCGCCATGACTCAGAAGGAGCAGCAGGTCAAAGGGAAAGAGAAGAGCAGTGGATTCCTTCCTTCTTCTACCGGCCCAGTCGATCGTTTCTTCTTCTCCAGAGAGGTCGTTCGTCCCTTTTTCTAGCCGCAGAGTCCTTCGTTCCTTCTTCCACCCGCGAAGTAGCTCCTTCTTCCACCCTCTGAGGGGCTCCTCCTTTCCACTTGGCGGAACTTGTCCTCCTGCCACCTGCGGGTGTCTGCGTGGCGTCTCTGGAGATGACGTCAAGAAGCCGCGTCCGCCCGGAGGCGCAGTAGGATGACATCACCAAATCTCTGTCCTCTGGGCGGTGCGGAAAGATGATGTTAGGGATGCCCTGCTGTGGAGCACTTCAGTGTGGTGCAAAAATTTAAGAGCCCTGAGAAAGCGGAGACAGCACTACTGGGAGAAAAGTGAAAATTACAACTGTTTTGAAAAGTGTATTGTTATAATTCATCGTATTTGTTATTTTTTCACTTTTATTTGCATTGTTTGTAACTTCATTACATTATCATGCTTTCGATCTTTAAATTATTTTAATAGCTTAGTATATGCAGTGTGTTGGATAGTGTTTCACTTGAACATCAAAATATGTGCGTTCTGCCGCTGGGGTTGAGGTTTTCTTTATGTATATGTTAGGTCCACTTCGTCTACAGTGTCGAAGGTAAGACTTTTCCCCTTTTCTTCCTGATCATGTCTAGTTCTTTTCATAATTAAAAAAAAAAAAAAAAAACCGATGCATTTTACATATCAATATACGTATTGATAACGTTAATCACAGGGAACTTGTACCTGTCCGGGATATATTTTGCACACACACACACACACACACACACACACACACGCACATTCCTTTGCTTTTCCTTCAACCCCTCTGCCCTCCTTACTTACCAAGATTTTTTTCCCATTGTTTTATTTCTTTTCACTTTTTTCTTGGCCCTTCCTTCCTTTCCTCCTACCTCTGCCTTTGTTCCCCTTCTCATTTGAACATTTCCTTCTCAATGCCTGTTATACATTTTAATGCTTATTTACATTTGTATTGTTCCAAACCAGAGAAACAATGTGGTATTTAAACATCTAGTTCTTTATATATTGTCAGAATTACCACACACTGAAGTCTTCAACCATTATGATCTCATTCTCTAGGTTCTCCCTTCAGTTCAGTCCGTGTTTCTTGTATTTTAGAACTATGCTGTCTGGTCATATATGTTTACAATTTTTTTTATTTGTGATCATTAAATGTTATTGGTGAATAGTTTTTTTAATCATTTCTCCCTTTGATTCTTTTAAGAGTGTTAAACTAAAATACACTTTGTGTCCAATAGTCTACCTCCTCCTGTTGTCTTTTAGTTATCTGCATGAAATATTATAGTTCACCTCTTCACTGTTGTATTTATCCTGATTCTTAGAATTAAAGTGAGATTGACATAAACAGCGTATATATGTATAACCTAATGTTGTAATTTTTATGGCAAATTTATTATGTAGTTTATTATATATTTATTTTTGGTTAAGTTAATCTATTTAAATTTAAAGTAAATGCATACAATGAAGGATTCATTTTTTTTTTTTTTTTATTGCTTCCAGCCTTTGGACCCTCATTTCCTCTATCCAGCAGTTCACTTTAACACCTTTCGTTTCCATCTCCTTTTTTTTTTCCATGTATGCTGTAGTTTGTTGTTGTTGATTCACTTTTTTTCACTTAAATTTGACACCCCAAAATTAATATGATCATTTTTAAATTCATGTATCTTTAATTTCAATCACATTAATAAAAAGTGCAACGTTATATAATTTCTACACTACTCGTATTGCAATTATGTTATGATATCTAGTCTAGATATCTAGTCTAGATATCTAGTCTATGATATCTAGTCTAGATATCCCCATAAAGTTTCCTGCAGTCATGGGGTGCAAACTTTTCTAAGGCAACCAAATCTAGAGTTCATGATTTGTTTATTGTCTAGTGCTGAAACTAGGGGTGTGAGGGCTATACCCTCCTTAGGGCAGGTAGTCTGCATACAGTGTAAGTGAGCAGCGAAAGAAGCCTGCTTCCCCATTTTTTGTCTTGTTGCTGTTTTTGTCTTCTGCTGCCCTGAATTGTTGCCCACCTGCCACATTATTCTGCTTTGGATCCAGCTGATTATAGACAGAAATCTCCACAAACTGTATGCTAAAAAAACATTTGCCCCTTTATTTTGGGCATCAGGTTTTTGTTTCAGCAAGGACAGAAAAGTAACCAAGACAAATATCACAAATGGTGTCTTGATACATTAAGTAACTAGTGACATAGGATGACATTTTATTCATTTTTAATACTGTAAAAAATAAAAAGTAGGTTACAGTATAAATTACAACAATACTGGTTCTTATATTCATGTGTATATTTGCTTATATCAAAGAACATTACATTTTCCTGTGCTTTTAGTGGGTGTCAGACCTCTTTAGTTTCAACATGAAACACTATCTTCCATATTTCTCATGGAGCAAAATTACTGATAACATAGCTGTTCATCTTTAATTTGTCTGAAGAGATTTAATTTATCTTCATTTTTGGAAGAGTTTTACTAGTTCAACTTTCATTTTTACTGTTTTGAAGATTCCACAAAAATGTTTTTCACAAGTTAAATTTTAAAAATAGTAAAATACAATTATATTCATCAGGGAAAAGTACTATCTTTGGCAATTTCTAAAAATAGAATTGTTTTGCTTATTTATTCCAAAAAACTACTTTATTGCTACCATAGTATCATAAGTAATATTTTTAGGTCAACACTGTTATATACTAATTTAATGGAGTATATTAATGCAAATTTGGTGAAACATGTATTGGTAGAATATGGAAATCATTCATTTTGAAGTATGTTTTGGTTATCATTTCTTTAGTTGGCATTTTTTAATAATGGCATGCAACAGCTATGAAGGGCAGAGAATAAACCTTTTCAGGTGAGCTGAAACTTACCTGTCTTTGATCCCATGCGTTGTTAAACTTCAGTGTCCTTAGGATATGTATGTAAGCCCAGGCAGGAGAATGCTACCGGGAATCTTACTTGGGTTCTTATATTCATGTGTATATTTTCTTATATCAAAGAACATTACATTTTCCTATGCTTTATTGGGAAGATAATTCAGCTGAAGAATGAAATGGATACAGAGAAGTCAGGAATCTAAATACAAGCTGAACTTTTGACACCTTTCTGGGTTTCACCTTGCAAAATTTCTTCAGGTTTGACAAGTAAAAGATGTCACATTCTCATGGGGTTATTTCAGTTATGCTTCAGTCCCTTTTAAACTGTATCCATTGCATCATTCATTGCTTACCCTTTTCACACTATGCTTTCCTTGTCAAATTCCTCTTTATCATAACTACATGTCTACTGAATTACCATTGTTCCTCATCTATACATATAATTAAGAAGATTCAACTTTTGGAAGCTCCTGCATGTCCTACTTGGTTAATAACAAAGTGTGTTATGATCTCAGGTGCAGTGGGACAGGAACTGCACCAATCACTGAGTCACTAAAGACTGAGAGCCCTTCATGATGCACAACTTTCTTATGTGCTTGAGGTGATTTCAGGATTCAACGTTGAAGGGCTAGTAGGAGTTCCTTCACCTCTTATTCTTCCCAAATAGGACATGTGTCTTAGTCACTTTCTCATTGCTGGGATTCCATACCAGACACCAACAAATTAAGGAAGGAGAGGTCTATTTTGGCTCAGTTTTAGAGGTTTCAGTCCTTAGTCAGTAGAAGCCCCAAAGGGGCGGAGTGCCTTGATGAAAAGCTGCTCATGTCATGATGTCTCAAAGGGTGATATACTCTTCTAAGTCACATTTCAGTGATCTTTCTCTTCCCAACCAGGTCCAACCTCCAACTTCACAGTTAGCTATAGTGCCCTCATGAGTCAGTCACCCTTCAAAAACACTGCCTTTGAGTATAAAAGGCTTTGGAGAGACATGCAAATATAAACCAGAATGACATCTTAGTTTTTGTTTGAGTTTAAAGCTTAGCCTGAACCCCAGCAGCATGAATACTAGAATACTGACTAGAATGAGTTTTTAGTAGAAAGGTCTGAAATCAAATTTCACATATGGCCTTTTTTTTTTCTGCTAGCCTAAGCATTCATAAATACCAAGTCTGGATGAATTCCAGTGTGTGTGTGTGTGTGTGTGTGTGTGTGTGTGTGTGTGGTGTGTGTGTGTCTGTGTGTGTGTATATATATATATATATATATATATATATATATATATATATAAAATCAAAATTGCTACTGAAATTACAAGGTATCATTAGCCTCTCTCTTGCTAAAAGTGTTCATTAAAGCAGTACTTACTGTTAAGTAATTTCCAAATCTCATGAAACTGAATATTGAATTCCTTTTCCTGGCGTGAAGAACATTAGCTTGAAACACATAGTTAACATAAATGTGACAAGCAATTAGATTCTTCCATGTGTTTCTGCTTCCTCATCTTCTTCCTGCCCTTACCAAGTACCATGATCATTAGCAACACTGAGAGATAAACAGGGAACCCGATCTTGAGAAACCAAATTGAAAATTCCTGATCAACCATGGCAAAGTAGTGATGAGATTTTGTCTCATACATATTAGAGAAGATATTCCTTGGACAGTATACATGTTCTTAGATGGATGAGGTGGATTGAAACAACAAGGTTGACAAAGTTTTAAAGGATAACAGGAGAATAGGGGTATCACCTGTGAGCAAAGTGATATTTAAAAAAAAATTAAAAAATAAAAATACCTTGGAGGTGACCATGGTGACCCACACCTATAATCCCAACACACTGAGAGACTGAGACACGAACACTGAAAGTTCAAGCTGATTCTACATAGTAAGAGAATATAATTTAATGATTTTCTTTCAAATCTGTTTGAGTTTCTCTAGCTCTGGCTCAAGATGTCAAGATGTCAAGAAAGACACAACTCATAGTTTCCAGCTGTTATGCTTCTAGTTCCCATGAACAGTCACATAAATTTCCAATATTGCCTTCTTGGTTTTAAAGAGTAGGTCCAAGACCCCGGTGTTCTCTTCTCATTAAGATTTACCTGGGTGAGTTAGAAAAATTTTAGATGAAGCAAAAGAAATATTCATGGGATAATCACTGACAAAGTCTCAAGCTGGAGGGAGCAAGGCTTAAGAGGAGGAGAGGAGATGCTTTTAGAACTGTCATCAGTCTTTTTTCACCTGAGATGGCCAGAGACCCTCAGCATTTCATAGCCAGCAACAGCACCTG